CACATTTAGCAGAATCCTATATTTCTCCTCTTCCTGTTTAATTAAGAATTACTTTTGCCTGCCACAGGAGAATCAGAAGAGCTTTCTTTTGAGTTATTCAGAAAGTGGTAAAATAACACATGCAGATACTGCAGCTGACAGCATAAGCAGGGTCAGTATTAGGACAAACTGGCCAAAAAGAGCAGCTTTTGGCATAATTATAATCAGTCCTTGGGTACATGAAATGTCATGGAGTTTCATATGAAATGAAATTATCCCTTTCTCTTAGCTTATTTTTGTTCCAACTAATCCTCTAACTCTTTATTAAACATTATCTTTACCATCTGCTCTGGGTGAATGTTCAACACCTTGCAGAAGAACTCTGGGCTGATCGGTTTTTATGGGCAACATGATCTGAGTTTTATGCACATACTTAGGATTATGTCAAGGACAAAGAGGATAAATAATCCATTAACTATAATAAACAGGAACCCGTATCAGTGAAGCTCGAACATGTGTTATGTTTCAAAAGCAAAAGATGAATTAGAGATATGTGGAGCATAAAATACACATAACCCAGGACCCTCTCTATACCAGAGCATCATTTCCATACATACTCCACTAAACAGCATTCCTGAAAGTGACATTTCATTCTTGATGAATCAGACTTTATAGTGCTGAAATGGAATTACCAGGCCTACAACATGCAAAGAAATAGCTCTGCTGAATTGGGCATTACCTCTAAGGTGGAACAGATGGTAGCAAAATATCTGCCCTGTGCACAGGTCTTTCAACCACATTTATATGGTCAATAATAGAACTCCACTCTATTTTCATACTTTCAGTAAGCCTCTAAAATAAATCATCAAGGAATTGCTGCTGTTTAAAGTCACAATTTAAAAATTTACACTTAAAAAAGTAATTGTCAAAAGTTAGTCAAATGTTGCTATCAATTAGATCCAGTTATTGCTTCCACTCTTTGATTACCACAAACACTAAAATAACATTACTACTATTAATTATAATATTTAGTGCAATGTGTATCAGCCCACCAAGACTGCATTTGCTGCAAAATACATAATTGTAAGAGTTTGGTTCCTTTCTTGCAATAGTTCATGTAATTACTCACCTTTTTCACCTTTCCACATCTTCTGCAATAATTTGTCTTCCTCTGGCTAACCTTTCAGACCAAAGTATATACCTTTTCTTCCACTATAAAGGTTTATGATCCCAAAATAAACAACAGTTATGATAGTATTTGATAAGAGCATATTATCAACAGAAAATATCTGGACAATAAATCTTTACTCATCTCCATTGATGTAGAAGGTTTGCACCATATATCCTTGCAGTATGCTCTAAGGCCTAATGCTACTCTTCTAAACAATTTCAACAACTTGTTGAGAATCACTCTACTCACAGTGAGCAGTATTCTTCACTGCTGTATCATTCCATAGATGAAGGGAAGGATCAAGGTTCTCCACGGGTATAAGTTGTATGAATTCTGTTGATTTCAATAGAACTGTCTTGATTTGAATCAATGGTGTGATCTATACACTTTTAGAATCAGTGAAACAGTAAGGACTTTGAGAGAGATAGTCATTACTAGCTACTGGATATGCTGCTAAAGACTATGAGAATTGTCCACCCAAGAACTATGACTAGCAACAGAAGGCTGTATTAAATCCCAATATTCAAACCTCAGTACTTGTGCTTTGTACATGTGCTTTGTACATGTGCTTTGGCTGACCGGGCACCTTGACTTCTTTACCTGTTCCTGTAGTACATACTAGGGGCAAAACAAGCTTAGAAGCAAATCACAGAAACCATGCTCCATGAACCATGCTCCAGACCACTGCCCTCATAGCTCACTGGATTAAAGGGAGATCAGATTAGACCCAGGATCATTTACTGTATGGGGACCTGCTCAAGTTGCTTACCCTAATCTAAATCTCAAGTGTGCTAAGCAACAGATGAAAAGCTACACAATAATTGCATAGCTCGGGTGCTTGGTAAACTTACTTTCCTATACTTCCAGACGAATGACCAGCTTAGAAACAAAACCTAGTAATAAATAAAAAGTAATATAGCTGAAAGAGCCCAAAATAGTATTACACTAAGCTTCAAACAATAACCTAGTATCTTCCTGTCCAATTCCTCCAGCCATGGGCAGCATTCAGTGGTAGTCATAGGTGGGGAAGGAAGGATCCAGTATGTTTATGTCACAGAATTTCCCATGTAAATAATTAGCTGCTTAACACACACTTCTTCCTTGACTAACAAGTCTTTGTGAGTCTCCAAGTTCAGAATACAAACCTCATTACTAAATGAAAGAATAAACATATACATAATATTCAGAGTAAATATAATCTAAGATAGGATATCACTATTCTTAAATAGACAGAAAAATGGATTCCAAATACTCAAGTATAGTCAGAGGTCTGGGCCACCCAGCAGAAGACATCCTTATCAGCTCCCTTCCTAAACACTGAATTTCAAAGACTCGTCAAAAGTACAGAAGGTTGTTACTTTTTTATGGTTAATGCTTTAATTAAAACTCTTTTTATGAAAATAAATTAAAGTTACTTTCCAGGGCAAATTTTCAACCCAATGGGAATTTTAAAACAAAAGATAAATGTAGTGTTCATTCTTATGTAGAAAGTGTCTCTCCCCTCCCTAAATCTTACTACATACATACATGTGTGATTTAGCTGAGGTAGGACAGTGAGAGATGAAGAAAAATCTTCTCTAAAGTAACACCTTTGAAATTATAAAAAGAGGAAAGCAAAAGAGTTACACAAAGTGTTAAAGGGTAATAAAGATTTTATATATATCTTAACTATTAGCATGAGTAATACACAAAATGGATTTGTTTTAGGTTACCAGATTTTATCCAGATTATCCAGACTATCAGCATCTGGTTTAAGTCCCCAGTGTAACCATCTGTAGTAATGTCACATGAAGGATTAGCCTTATCTGACATTTGTAATGAATATATGGATGGAAGAAGAGGAAGGAGTGTGACACAGAGTACAAGTGCTAAACCTTAAAATCAGGTGAAACCACATCTTTATTTGCTGATTCTAACATGGGGATGTTTTTACTTTTCAAATGTTAGCATATGTACTGAAAAACAACACATCCTCATTGATTTTTTTAAAGAAAAGCAGGCAAACTGAGAAAAAAAAATTTATATTTGACCTTTTAAACATAATTAGAACATTAAATAAAAATAAAGCCTACCTCACCATGTTCAGTTATGACAGATGGGTATGATCACAAAAACATCAAAGGTAGGCTTATCCTAATCCTGTAAAGTGGTAAGTGCCTCCTGAAAGGTCCTGAGTGCCTTCTAATCCTACTGAGGAAAGGCTGCAAATGCATCAAGAGGTAATGGGAGTAAGTAACAGAGGCAATAGTGAGCTTTCCGGGCCACATGAGGAACAGTCTGTATTAAAAAGATCTGATATATTAGGAAATAACCTGATTTATCTAAATACAGAAATCAGAAAGTGGGAGGATGTGTATTTATTCTTTGCTCTCTGTAAGTTAGTCCCACATCATGCAGCTGCAATTCAGAAAATTTGGCTCTTCTTCCAGGCTTTGTTCTTTGCATAAAATTGCACAGTGTCCCAGGTCAATATATTTACTCCTTAGCATCAGTGTCTTCTTTCCACAAATGGTGAAACTGAAGTGACCTCTTCTCAACAGATCATGAAGTTTTGCAAAATTGACAAGACATAAGAATCTATGACCATGATTAGTTTTAATGCATCATAATGTATGATGAAAAAGCTGGAGTTCAAAGCAGAAAAAAAACCTCAAATCCTATAAAATGTTTTGATTTGAGGGTTTCCCCTTTGGGTGCAATCAAATATTTAGGATACGGAAAAGGAGAATAAAGGATTCTATCAACTTAAGGCAGGTACCACTACCTTTGGAAGAACAGCTGAATTGGAATGATTGCTGATCAGGTCAAGTTCAACAGTAAGAGTCTTTTTATTCAAAAATGGCCAGGTGAAAGGTCTCAGTGAAGATCGGGTCTGTGTTTCAAGGCTAGGTGATATGAGAACACAGTACTGCAGTGGAGTGTAGCAGGTAAACAAACAAGGTATATTGTGACAATGCCAACCACTCGTCCCCAGTTTAAAACAAGCTTTCTAAGTCACACTGCAAAAGTACCTTGTGCAAAGTCACAGATAATATCTAGTGCAGCCTGAGACGTAAGCCTCAGCTAGTTTTATCTCATCACAATGAAACTCTAGAATGTTCCCACTGGTCATACAAGACATGGGTATCTTATTTCCTTTGGTGAAACGGACACCATTAATAGCTGATATTTTTAAAAAGCTTCTTCATATGTGCATTATTAGATGTCACATGTCCATGAAGCTCAAGCTTAGAGTGTTTTTCAAGTATCCAGATACCTGCTACCTGGCAGAATGTCACTAATGGCTACATTTTATAAATTTGCATGAGACACCTTTATAACACATGCTGTATTGGCACCATTGCCCAATACTGCATGCAATTACTTTGTTGTTGCTGTTGTTGCTGAGGGCCAAGCTCTAACAAATTAAATTTAGAGAAGGGAAATAGGCTTATATGCAAATGGAATTAAATGCTGACACAAGGATAAAACTGCCCTGGATTTAGACAGGGCTCTCCCCCCCGACTTTTTAACCAATCATTGGATTTAAATTGAACAGACAGATTCATCTTTGATTTAACTCCACTGTAATCAATGGAACTGCAGCAGGGATGAACCCGAAACAATATGTTTTTGACAGGTTTTATGCAGTGGCTATCCAGAATGAAGTAGATGAAACAGATTTTTTTTTTTTTTTTTTTTTTTTTTGCTTATAATTTATGAAATTATTTCACCATCCCCAAATCCCTACATCAAGGAAATTAGTTGGTGCATAAAAATGGATAAAGTAGGCAGTTGCATGCCAAATACCAACTGCTGGCCACAGGCTCTATACCCAAATATGCAAAGCCAAAATATTTATCTGACTTACCTGTGATCCAGAACAAGCTCCCTAATGGTGTCAGTACAGCTGGATAATTGCACAGTTTCTCCTCAATGTCACTTCAGCTGCATAAAAAGAATGAAGTATATTTACTATCTCTATAATATTAGGATCACATATATATAGTGGCTGAACTCAAAACTTTATGTTCTTTGGCGATTGATAGAAGTCCTAGGATGAATAATTGATGGTTGATCTGATCATTGCATTATACAAGAAATGTGTTTCAGTAAACTTTTAGAACCCTTGGTTGCATTTTGTGCCTTTGTTACATGACTGCTCCTAGACATTGCTTCCTCCCTTCTCTGTCTCTACTGGCACATCTTGTGGGAAGATTAAATTGTTTATCAAGATATTTAATAAATTAATGTAGGACCAAAGGACTCTGACAACATACACTGTATATGGAGCTAATGAGAATTAGAGACTATTGCTCCTACCAGTCTGACAAACCCTGATTTTTTTTTGGCACCTGTTTTTTCAGCATCAACTCCTCTTCATTCTTCTCTCCCTTCCTAGTTTTCCATTGCTTCTTTTCAGCTGACAGCTCACTGTTTATTCATGGTCTCATTGTTTGGTTTTGAGGATTCTTTATTCAATGGTAAATTCAGAGGTATAACAGCTTGTTATTCCACACAGCCACTTCTCTGTACAAAAGCCATCAAATGATACAGAGAACTTCTGTATGGGTGTTTATAGCTTTACCCTTCTTGTGTCACAGTTTCCACTCTCACATTGTTTTTTCCCCCAAAATATTTTAGCTTCTTTTTCACTGTATATGTACATGTAATGCTATTTTTGGTAACTGCTAATGGTTAACCAACTACACATGAGAAAGCATAGCAGACCTCCTGCTGGCTCCTATGGCATGGTCACCATCAGCCAGAGTTTGCAGATTATCTTCTTGAAATATTAGAGTAGGACAGTGCTTTTTACTTGGAGGTCCACAACAAGTCACTAAGATAAGTTATTGTCAAAAAGTAAGTCCATGCATCAAACATTCATTTAGTGCTGCAGTAGAGATGTCCTCAGCTGGCAGAGTAGCCTTGGGACTATAGGTACTCTAGGCAAAGACAGCAAAGCAGACCAATTTCAAAAAAGCAAAAATAATTCCAATACCAATTTAATGGTATTATAACTGCATTATTACCAATTTATTTCCAAAATACCACTTTCAAAGTAAACTCCATTCAGATCAAACAGTCCTAGAGAACCATGTATTTCCTTTACATATATTTTCTTACTTACATAAAAAGAAGAGGTAGTAATCTAAGAAGGCCTAGCATTGAACTTACATTAAATGCTTACATTAAATGTAAACAAACTGATCTTTGTTTGCATTTGCTGTAGCAAATATGTAGGGACAGAGCAAAACAGAGATATCAGTACTGTTATACTACACGGAAGTGCTTGAATCAGGTCTAAAACTTCTCTTCCTTTCCTCAAATATATGTGTTTCCTCCAAAAGCACAAAGCAGGTATTTGTTGCACCAGCATTTTGCTCACTAGAGATTTTTGAAAGTTTAATCAGAATTACTTGGGCAACATGCAGTCCTGTGAAAATATGTGCAGCAGAGTGAATTACAGTGTCATCATGTATTTTGATGCAAAACTAGTTTAAACAAAAGTTATGAAGATATAAGTCAATAAAAAGTGTGGAAAGCAACTGCTTTTATAATACACACCCAGCTTTAAAGAGAAAGAAAATATACTACCTTTACAAGTATGTCAGTGTATAACATACAGGAAAATTAAGATTCTTCATTTCAGCTACTAATAACTTCCAGAACATAAAGCTTGAAAGTATGAGTACTCCCTTTTTTCAAGCAGTAAAGGTCTCAAGGTTTTACCCTATTCATATCTGCTATGAAATATGAATGGGGTTCATATTTCCCATATGAACCCCATCATTTGTATGTCATTGATTTCAAAACATAGAAAATGGTCCATCAAATAATACTTTTTATATGTTACAAACTGTATAACAATCCTACAATTTTTACCTTGGAAACTACTGTAATTTTCAAGTAATAAAACTTCATGCTTGCTTTCTGAAGATCTAATTCTAAACATCTAATTCTGTTCAGTAATCTGGTGGTACCACACTCAACAGCATTCATTCTTCTTATGTGAAAAAAGCAGAGTTAGAGATGGTAACTGATATTTGCATGAATTCAGGAATCTAAGCAAAACTAAGATATTGGATATCTGCTCATTAACAAGTCAGATCGGCATTCAACTGCCCCTTTAAATATTTCTAATATAGCAGGAATTTTTCAACTCAAAACATTATAAGCATGATTTCTTTTCCTAATCTTTCAATAGACGTAAAAAAAGCATTTTAAGGAAAGACACATGCACTGGGAAAAAAATTGCTGGATTACTATCAGCCTCATAGAGTAATGTTAACTGCTTTCCTTCAAACTTTAAAGTAAGTGGTCCGTTAATTTTTAACTGTTTCTTCTACTCCGGCTTTGAATTTCTTTTTTTTGCCTTCCAAGATGCCTGAATTCACCTGTGGTTATAAGAATATGATTCTCCGTGTGTTTCTTGTGTCTGTAAAAAATCAGTTTCAAATCCAGTTAGAGAATTCAATCTGAAGGGAGGCTGTCCATAAAATCAGTTGATCAATTCATGAACATACTATAGGGTTTTATGCTGAAATAATAAGAAACCTATTTAGTACTCTTTAAAACGCTCTTGTGTCCTGCGCGGGGAGGGCTCATGTTGCCCTGGAGCCCTCACCGGGCTGCCTCTGGCCGGCCCCGCCAGCGCAAGAGCCGGCTGAGCCGCGGCCGCGGGAATGGCCGGCTAAACCGCAGCTGGGCAAGAGCTGAGCCGGCTAAATCTCAGCTGCCAAAGGTGCACAGCTCTCGCACGGACTAATAGGCTCTCCCATCTTCTACTAGAAACACTCCCTCTTCATTTTCCCCCAATGCTAGAAGTTTATGAGTCATTTATCCGAACTAAACGATGTTCTTAAAGAAAGTTTCATATTCCTTTGGGAAGAAAGTAGTAAAATGGAAAGTTGGAGAGGAGTCATACAAAACAAAGCAAAATATTCAAAATATGCAACTGTGTAACCATCATAAATATCTCATAGGGAATTTTAAAATAGGTTCATTTTGAGAAACCTCCTCATTCATGGGAAAACACTCACAACAGAAAGTACAAATGCTGGTAAAAGGAATCAACCAAACACAGAATCTGAAAGAACTTTCAGGGAAAAGAATTTGACCACTCCTAACATGATTGAATATCCATCTTGCAAATGAACAGTCCAGTGGGGGGAAAAATTAGGAACAATTTCAGATCAAATTGAAATGAACCATTGGATGGCACTGAACTGTGAAACAGGACAATTTGGATTCTTGGAGAGTTGTGTCTGTCTGACTTGTTATGAAATCTCATTTGCTATCCTGTCTCCCTCACTATCCTCAATTCCCTTTCTCAACTCTGGTGATTTACAGAAGTTATGGACCAGTTCTCACAGTGGACACATCTATGCTAAAATCAGAAGAATGACAGAGGGGTGTGAATGAAAACATTCCCAGACTAGCTTTACTGTCACTGGCCACCTCAACAGACTTTAGTTATCCCAATAAGTATCCATTATGTCTTTCAGCTCTGCATCCTGTGCTGTACTCCATGTTTCCTGTCAAAGTTCCTTGATAAAGATTCTTTCAGTTATGCCTACCAGTCCTTCACTCCCACCACTTACATACAATGTGCAATAGTGATTTTGAATAAGTTACACCTGGATCTCAATGGGTTCTTAAGCACTACTTTATAATACATAAAACTAGGTACTGCTGAAATACAAGTAACTTTCTTGCACTGATGATTTGTCATCTAGACTAGCCCTGCTTTTCACCCAGTTTGCTTCTAAAAAGCATTTCCTGCAAGTCTGGGTAATTCATGCCCCCTCTGCCTGGAGCGTAGATCCTGCAGTTGTTGCACTGAGCAGTCCCAGCCAGTGTAAGCCCTCTGAACCCGGCCCTGAAGCCAGACACCCTCAAAATGCACCAGTGAGCAGATGCATCACCTCCTCCTGCAAGCACTGCAACAGCCACTGCACAGTTGGTTGCTCAATGCCAACAGTATGATGCATATTTCCTGTGCTGAAGGAAATTGCATCTTTCAGGAATTGCATCAGGCTCTGGCAAAAAAATAAAACAGCTAGGGAGAACATAGTTCAATATGAGTAAGCTAATTATGATTTTGGCTCCTAATGCTTTTTAAAAGCCAACATATAAAGTCCAGCTGGCATGTCCTTCCTTCTGCCTGAAGGAAAAAAATCCCAATTTATAGCATAATCAAAAATCATGTTTCTGTATTTTTGGGGTTTTTTTTTAAGTTACTGCCAATACTTCAGCCTATGGAAAAGCCTCAGATTGCTTTCCAAGTGATGAAGTGCCAGGAAGAAAAAGTTTCAATGTATACACATTTTACTGCTTTTACACTGGTTTCAAAAGCAGACAAGACTGCCTGGCTGGAAGTAAGGGGCAAAGAAGTATCTGTTAAGTAAGGAATTTGTGAAACACATAACCTTGTGCAAGTAAGAGACCATTGCTAATTTTCAGGTGGTTATAAAGCCACTGGTGAATTTGAGACAGTTCAAAACCAGTTACAATAGAAGAGGGGATTGGGCAATCTGCTGAAATTAAATGCAGCACAGAAACAAAATCTTGTAATAACCCAACACTGAAGTATGCTGTGAGAATAAAAAATATATGAGCAAGTGCACAGGTATAGTCTTTTAAAGACCAATGTTATTTGGTATGAAGGCAGAGGGTGTTGCACAGCTCTGAACACAGGTTTGCTAAGTATACCAGGCTCTTACTTCTTTCAGTCAATCATACTCTGAAAACTTTGAAACTACCACAGAGGTACAGGGAAGTAGCTGTATTGATTTTCACTCACTATACCTGTAGTAATAAATCAATCAATATCTCTCAGAAAAATACTATAGCACTACTTGCCCTGAAACAGCATTTTGAGTATGCACCTGCAAAGGCAGATACATTTTTCTACATCTCAACTAAAACACTGCACCGCAAACAGCAGTTTGCAATGATCAAAACAGCATTTATATGTCTATTTTAAGTGATGTTTCTTTAGCAATATAATTATGATTTTGATTACTTATGCATCAACGTAAACTAAATGAAACATAGGTTGTATTGAAAAAAAATGTAAGTGACCAAATCTACAAACTTTATTAAAATGCAAAACTCTTATATGATCAACAACATAGATTTCAGCATGACTTTTTGTCTGTAACAAGTTTGTGTAGTAACTCTAACCGAATTCAAGCCCAGGAATGTGACCTTGATTAGTAATCTTGCAAACAAAGGATAGGAAACCATATTTACTCTTCAACTGATAGTCACCTTGTGGGATCTGTAGCACATGTAGTAAATGTAACATTTACTCAGTTTCTGAGACTGGAAGTTGAATAGGGCACATCTCCTGCATTCTGTGGTGCATTGTGACTTGAATGCAATTTTCTACACCATACTCATCCACTCTACATTTGTCTACACAGCTATTCAAATTCCTTCAGTCTAAGTCAATGATTGTCCAAGCCAAGCTGTCTAACAGCAGAATCTAGATGTAGGACTTTAGGTGTCTGAAGAAACAGCCAATTTCAGCAATTTTTTCCAGTTGCAGAAATTCAGTAGTTAAACAATGTGCAACCTTAAAGCATGCTTTGGATGGAAATGAAGGCAGAATGGAAACCTGCCTCCACAGCTCGCCTGTTATTTCAGCCTTCAGCCTTTGTAACAGCCAAACCCTTCAACTGCTCCTGGTGCCTCTCCTCAGCATGCATTATCTTATTACACTATAAAGGTTGTAGTTTAAGTACCAATATTTTATGACTTCCTAGTTCAGTCTGTGACAATTGTGAGGCACCCATCAGTCTCCCAGTACTAATATCTAGTCATTTACTAGCAACTACATCCAAAACCCTGATTTTCTCTCAGGACCCCTGAGGATTTTCCTGTCTTATCAGTTAAATACAAAATTCCACACATCTTTATACCTTGTCTATATGGGTATCTTAACTACATGTCCTTCAGAGATATCATTTGCGTTGTATGAGCTCTTGAGGAGACGATGCCAGTCTTCAGGGGCTGCAGGGATTGCCAGGATCCATTTCTTGGGGCTGGGGCAGGTGAGGCAATGTCCTTGCTTGCAGCAGTGAGCTCACATTATATCTGGTAAAGACAGCACTCATCATCCTGGACACCATAACAGTAGACCATAACACCATAATCAGTAGACTGAGGGAGGAGAAACTCATCACTTTTAAGACCACATCTATAATACTGTATTTGGGGTTGGGATCTCTACCACTCAAAAGACACAGGTAAACTGGTGCGTCACCAACACAGTCAGGGACAGAATATAGATATGTACAGAATATATGTATACATCCAGAATATATCTATTACTCAGATCAGCAAAAATCCAAGTTTTCAACTGGCTCAAAACTTGCAAAAGCTGGAATTAGAAATTAAATGAAATGTGGAATCACTTTCCTTAGGGCAATTTTTTCAGAAGACCTATGTAAAATGTACAGATCATTGCTTATACAAACCAACAGTCTACATTCCTGTGAAATACAAACCAACAGTCTACCTTCCTGTGAAAAAAGTTTGCCGTATTTTTCTCATTTTTATATATACATATACAAAGATAGACAGAATTCATACAAACACACACACATAGACATATATATACAAACAAGCATTTTTTTACTCAGTTGGCTGTGTGCTCAAAAAACACCTAGGTGATATACTTGATGTATATTTTCATATCTTTCCCTTTTTATTTAGCTACTTCTAGGAATAGGATATTAGGCTAGACAAACCTTTAATGTGATTCAATATGAAAGTTTTTATAAAGATTATTTTCAACTGTTTCAGCAACATGTTAAGTTTACTATTCCAAATATTCACAAAGCATAATTGAAGACAATCCAAATAATTTAGAGGGGTTTGGATTAGCTCCTGTTTTTCATAAAGAAAGTATGAGATTCAGGAGAGTAGAAGACAAGATGAGCCACATGAGACTCAATCTGCAGCCACAGTCCACAAAAGTCTGAGAACTACCAAATCACTAAGTAGTCAAAATCGTGTGCAAAATATGAATAAAATATTGATTTCATTAAAAATGTTAAGGACTACTTAATTCAACAACATTTTATATGTTTGCATATTTATTTAATAATTTGCATATCTGTTTGCATATATCTTGTAAGCTGAACATTAATTATACTTTAAAATCATGTATAAATTGTAACCAAGAATGTTGTATGAATTTTTGAAATAAGAGATGCTCAAGTACCATTAATTATAAACTGCCATTTAAAGCACACTGAAGCAGACCTCATATTGAAAAAATATTGAGCCCTTGACAAATAAAAAAGGCAGAAAGAGTTATTAACTGGTCTAGCTGATTAAATGGTGTCTCCTACAATCATACCATAGATTTTTTTTTTTCCCTTTCTCCCTCCAGACCTTTCTACCTCCTGAGTTTCTTTTACTTAAAAGTGACACATGACAATTTGCTGGCCAAGATAAAATTGCTATAAAGACCACATGATTCACTCACTGGTTTATAGTTTCTGTTTAGGCCAATTCTCTTTTTGAATCTTTATTCATGTAGAACTGACAGGAATATAAAACAATAGACAAAACTTCTTGAGTTACTTTAGTGGACTAATGTCAGATGAGGTGAGTTGAATTAGTGAACACTAATTAGATATGTGAAATTATTCTGAGTAATTTAAAAAGCAAGGTCAAATCTCAAGCAGCTTCCAAAAGCCTAGACTTGCTAAATATACAAGGCATGTTGATCTGACTATCACTTAAAGTGGTAATTGGAAACAGTCAAAATTCTAATAGCTTTAGATACAAATCCAAGGTCAGCTATCCCAGTAATCATTAAGAGCCAGGAGTTTCCTAAAAAACTGTTCCTTAAGAATATTACAAAAGTATTATTTGCTCTTGTTAATTTTGAGAAGATGCGTTGAAGATCCATTAATAGTTAAGGAAAATAATTCAAATGTACATCTTGCATAGAGAAGGCTCTACAAGTTTATTAGTGCAAATCAGTGTTGCTGCTCTTAAGTTACCTATCTCTGCAAGCTGTTCCCTGAAGAGAGGACAGCAGAAAGGTAAAAGTCCTCACCTCTCTCGAAATGGCTAAAAGTCAGTCTAAACCCGATATCTTAATTTACATGAACAATGAAGCTGAATTTGCATTAATCCATCAGGCTGAAAAGTATATAAGGAGATGCAAACTCACCTATCTTGTTGTGCTAGCTTTGCCTCAGGGGTGGCAACATCAGTGCAAGGTGCAGACTGACATCCAGGAACAGTGAAGTCTCAAACTTCTGCATGTGTTATGCAAATGGGACCATGTCCATCAGCTTTAGTGATGTTGCATTACAGATTGAATTTGGCCTGCATAAGTCTGGCCTAACATTGGTATGTTATCAGCCATTCAGTCCTTGGTCAAGCAAGGGAACCTTCTTCAAATCTACAGAAGCTCTTTGCCTGATCTGTATTTCCCATTAGAAATATAGACTGCAGTGAGAGGGAAAGCCAAGAGATGCGCTATGGAAATACAGTTCTGTGGTTATCTCAATGCTCAAGTGTGATTGCAGGAAAATAGCCACAGAGCAGCTACCTCAGAGACATAAATCTCTCATTTAATCCTGTCTTCTGAGAGACACCTATTCTGCCTGCACGTTCTTTCTTCTTCAGCCCACACTTGAGAGTGGTTCATTAGAGGACATGCATACTCTAGCAGAGGCCTACTCTTAGCATTTCTTCTACCATGCAAACACTGTTCACACTTGCAGAGCTGAGTTAGATTTGCACTAAACTTTAATAGTTGTAGATTAGATTCATAGTATAACATGTCAGTGGTAAAAAATTCTGGCCAATTTCCTTGCTCTCTGTAGGAAAATAATGTGAAACCCTATGAGTTCTGACTTCTGATTTTTCAAGATTTCTAATTTTTTAAATTTTCCTTTCTCTTTTCACAAAACAGTCAGCAAAGGAAATAAATGCTGCAATTCCTGTGACCCTTCATAACATTTGTTATGTCATTACTTCCAACAGTAACTGATTCTCAGGCTTGGTTCTTTCTCTCGAATCAGTGTAGAAGAGAGAACTTAAAGTAGCAACCAGCACAACTGTATAGAGCAGGGAACTTCCCCAATGGCTAAAAATGCAATTAATAAGTTACCAGCTTTTCTTCCAATGTTCATGTCCTTCACCTATAACCATGGAACATTTATTTTGAAAAGAGGGGAAAGAAAAAGGTGCTTCTGTTTCTTGAAACTAAGACATTGCTACAGCTGTAATTTTCTGTTCTAATGAGGATCTATAGCGAATGAATTACTAAAGCACTAGACAAGCACCAAATAGTTTTCCCTCCTGATTGATTACACTCTAACAGCAACAAAACCTCATGGTTGAGCCACTGAGTCTTAGATAACCCATCTGTTTGTAATAGGAGCATGCTACTGTAGTGCCTGTAACAGAAGGACTTCATATTGATATTTTCTTACAGAAGGGTCTAGAACTAGATTTTTTAAAGAATTGGGATCCAAACAAAGATCTTTGTAGTAAAAATGTCAATTTCAGGGATAAGCCAAAATCCTGACTCGAACTTGCATGACTATAAGTATTTAAGTATTGAGTCAAGTTCTTTTGCTGCGCTTTCATGACCAAAGTTATCTATTTAGCTAAACGCAGAAGTAACTTGGCAGCATGATTTAAACACATGCTAAACTAATACAGCTTGAACTTTAATTTCCTTTATAATGGGTTGCTACTTTGATACAAAATAGCAATTGTATTAGATTTAGGCATCAGTAACTAAGTACTGGTGGTAGCGGAATTAGTTAATAACGGTTCAGAAATATTAATATAGCAATTCATAGTTTGGGTCATCTTTGTTTAATTTTAGTGCAGGTAGTTAGTTCAGTAATGTTTGACAATAATCATTGTAGTTCGGCATATTCAAGACTTGCAAGACTAATACATGTAAACTATTGTCTAACTTACTTATTTTTCTTGATTTTTCAAGTCTAAGAATCTTCTGAAGTGTTTTCATTTCATAACTGAAAGTAGTATACACAAAATATATATAAAGATGCACCCATCAATCTTTTATGCAAAAACTACAAATATCAGTGTAGTCGTCGGAGATTTTCATATGCAGCACGCTTTAGATAACTGCTTTAAAATGGATGACCTGATAAAAGTACTAATTCCTTACTACTTAGCAGCCTATTATCAGTGTGATTCAAAAAGAGAGGCAGGCAGGCAGGCAGACAGGCAGACAGGAAGGAAGGAAGGAAATGTAATTTTGTCCTTTTTCAAATTATAATAAAAACTAATTAATACAGGAAAAAAAAACACACACAAAAATAATAAGTAAACCAAAAAAAACCCTGTGAGAAAGTAAAGGCATTTTTTCAGATGATTGCCATGCCTTGTTATTGTAGTCTTACTAAGAGACTACATATTCTGATCACACTTCATAAATAACTGTGCAAAAGTAAGTTCCAAATTTCACTTTTTGATCTCATTGATTTTCATTTAAAATAAAAAACCTGTACTTTTGGAAATACACCTGTAACCATTAAAATGCCAGGTAGCTGCAGCTGGAAAGGATCTATTACCTTATGCTTTCAGGTACTCTATCATGTGTCTCCTAGTCTTGGTTTCTTCAAAGAGGCAAAAAAATATGTGGGCCCTTAAAAGACACAACATCAGCTTTTGGACTTGCCTACTGCAGTTGTAGCCATGAGAAAAGAGATCTCTGATAATAATAGAGATTCACAAAGGAAAAACAGCAGTTGTGTCTTTTTGCTGCTTTTACACATTCTGCAGAATACCAAGAGGATATTGTTTTACAAGTTGCTTAAAAGCTTACTTTTTGCTTTTTGAAATACAAGGGAGACCAGGTTTTGCTCAGCACTAATTGGAGGGGATGGAAATACTGAACCTCTGTCAGTATTTTTTTCTCGCAACTGCAGCTGATTAGCAGTTGAGACATACTGAATATAGTTTTGTTATGCTTGTGGTAAACTTGAAGATAGCATTTGCTGTAGTCTATTATCAATTACTCCTGCTCAGTTCTGTATACTCTGCTTGAGGAAGAATAATACATAGACAGCTTGTGGTAACAGTCCACCTTTTCACGCACTCTTACAAGCATAGAAAACTGTAAGGCAACAAAACCTCATTTGATAATGTCAGAAAGGAAATCTCTAATCTTCAATAGCTTGATTTTTGCAAATACCAGGCTAATCTACTGTTACAATACTACTTCATCCTCAAAAACTGTTCTGTAAGCAGTGATGTCAGCATTGTAAAGGAAGGGCTGTATGACCAACAAACCTGTCACCCACTTCCTAGCCAAGTGACACTTTTTAGTGGTTAAAAAAACTCTCACAGCCAAGCCTGTCCAAAATCAAGTACGAGTTAAGTGTATCACCTGACATATTTAATTTTGTGTAGCTTTGGAGTTTTTAAACTGGCCATGTATTTCCCTCTAACATGACATTAAAAATGAGACTTACGGAGAGAGAGGGAGAGAGAGAGAGAGAGGAGAGAAAGAGAGAACATGGGCAAGAGAAATCATTCATTAACTGGATACATCAAAACTTCTCCCGAATGTATACAGTGTGAGAAATTCCTGTGGATGGATCTATGCTGAGAAATCTGATCAAGGAAAAGGTAGAATCAATGCCATCCTGTGTATATAATAGAATAAAGTCTAAGTCTTAACTACATATAAGGAGGTTTTCCTTCTTTTCTTTCCCTGTATTAAAATGTCCACTTCAATGAAGATGAACCAAAGCTATTGGCTTATTCGAAGTTCAGTCAATTTACTAAAAGGCAGTTTTCTTGCTTTGAGGAGTATCTGTGCAATCCGTGACACTAGAGAAAGCACACAGCTCTATGACACTTGAATTTGTAGGATTGCTTAATTCGGCTCTAAAGTAGGAACACAGCTATGCCAATCTAGCTTTCAGATGAGTTTTGCAAGCACAGCCACTTATGTCCAAATTTGTACCAACTTAATTAACAGAACAAAAAATGAAAATTGCTTTTTTAATGCAAGACACGTTTCTAAAATGATCAGTATATTAACTAAAATGTATCCATTACTCCTTAGAGTAATGCTTGGCTTGGCTGAGCTGAAACCAACACACAAGGTAGCTTGAACCTGGCATTCCCCCCAGCTGTATATTGAAATCCCCAGGAAACCTTTGTCTCAGCCATGTTCTGAAAATTATTTCGGCTAGGGGGCGTTCAACTAACATATTTTACATCAACCCGTTCCAGCAGCTGTGACAGCAGCCTCCTGATGAGAGCTGTAAGTGCAAAACCCTGATGTTCCAGGATTTTAAATTTCTCCCTTACCCTGTAAGCAAGGGCCTCAGACTCCACTGTGAAGCTGTCGCAACACGAGTAAATAAGAATTAGTGTCTCATACAGAAACGTGCCTGCCATTTGCACATTCTATAGGCACTCCAGTGCAGGGATACCCCAATGCTTTCCTACTGTGACCGTAACAGGGATGTGCATTATTCCAATACAGTTAAGCCATAATGCACAGAACAGATTACAGCAGCAACAGCTTTGCCAGTGTAAGTTCATGTTCACAAAACTCCTACTGGCATAAAGCAGAGATCATACCTCATGTCACCTCAGCTTTCCTACTTCCTACAAGTGACAGCAGCAGCATAACTACAACCTTAAATACTTACCAATGCACTATTTTGAAATACTGCATTTGGGGTATTTCTGGGGGCAAAAGGTTCACATTATTTCCTGGCCACACATCACATATGGCTCTTGGACACCAGCACCTCCACTTTGCTGTGTAAGTTTCCTTGGTGGATGGAAGTCAAAGGAAGTTTCATCACATGTCCACCCACTAGGGTCCCTAAGAGAACATTTATTCCTGCCTCTTCAACATAGGCAAGATGTGAACATCAGCACCTTTTTACTGGCTTAAATAAGAGACACAGATTTCAAAGCTTTGAACAAAAAAATAAGATAAATATAGATCTATAAGCATGGGTTCAATAAGGGTAGCTAGGCACTGAAGTAAGGCTAAAATTTTCCCTCCGAAAATGTCACCTCTTCTACACTGATGATTCTCTGGCATGTCATAGGCTTAGATGACTGTGTTGGAGCAGGAGGTCTGGTTAAGAAAATGCTATAATAACCCTTCTTTCCATATTGCATGAGATTTCTTTTGCTGTTATCTCCCCTTCTGCAGATGAAAACAGACGAAAATACACATTGCAGCTGGTGACTCATTATATTAGTAGATGCCCTGTGCTAAATTCTATATATGAGAACTGCCATAATTTCATGGGTGCCTCTTTAAGAAACAAAATGAGCTGAACTTTCATTGTGCTGTGGGAAGTAACAGCACATCAGCAGTTATGGTATTACAGATGGACTTTTGCTTCCTCCTGGGAGTTGTTTTCCTTAGAAGCAAAGCTGATTCCTATTTTCCACTTTGCTGATAGCTCTGTTCCTGCATAGTTTGTACTACAGTGGGAACTATTATGCACCCTTCCCTCTCCCTCCCACCCCTACATACCTACACACTTCCTCTTTCCAGAACAAAAGCTTTTTCCAATAACTTAAGGAATCTCACAAAATTATAGTTCCTACCCTTATATAGTGATCTCAATTATTAGTTCCAAAACATACTTTTGAAGGGAAAAGTATAATTGTTACTCAGGAGCTGAGACTTAAGCCTCCCTCAACTTTGTATTTAATGTTAAAATAGTCATGGGAGAAAAGCTTTTGGGGGAAGTAGGATTCCCTGCCCAGTTCTGGTTGCACTACCTGTATGAAAACAATTTCATTTCAGAGGATTACTAATGCAAGGATTCCAGAATCCAAACTTACTATAAATTCTGGTTAATTTCAGATATTCCTAGTTAATGTTGTATGGAACTACCATTTGGGATTTAGTTTACAGTCTGCAAGCAGTAATGATAGAAACTAAAAACAGGTCAGGTTACTGCAGCTTAGCTATCAGACTTCTTGAAAAATGCACTGTACAACCTTTAGAAAAACAAGCTTCCAATAAACATAAGAAGCAAGTTCCAGTCTCTGATTAAGAATTCTCTTATCTCTTAGCCCTGGTTCCCAGGCTAATGAGATGACTTTGAGAAAGCTGTCTTTAAGTGTCTCCCCACTATGCTGTCCAGAATTCTGCAGGCTGTACGGCTCATTACATGTTTCTCGTAATACTGATTTGTCTCTGCCATAAGCTGTCTCTGCTGCCTGAGTGCAGGAATGTCTCACATTAAATTAAAGGGCCAGAAGCACGGGACATTTCAAGAAGGACAAAGAAATGGCAAAGCTCACTGATTCTGCAGGGAAATTGCTTTCTTGAGGGAAGTGTTTCATGTACTCAGGAGGTCTGGAAGATGTACTTTCTGGGAGAAGGTGGCTCAGTGCTGATAGGGGTGCTAATATAAATTGTATATGAGACTATTGTCATAATTTTAAAATTAAAGACATATACAGTCAATCCTTCAACCCTTCTGTTCCCCCAAAGTCAGTATTTTATTGTTTTTAAAGCTTTGCGTTGACACAGTGCCGACCAAAGGCAAACACTAACAAATACAAGCACAGACCCAGCATGTCACTTTGCAAAACAAAAATAGAATGGAGAAGAAGTGCTACAATGTCATGCAAAACATCTCTAGCCCTAATTAAAAAAAAAAAAAAAAAAAAAAAAAAAAAAAAAGACAGTTTTAGATTGAATGAATTGCCCTTAACCTAGAAAAATAAACATATTCAGAGAACTGGAAGAAAACCAGTGCCATATGCTATTACATCCAAAAAATGCCTTAGCCAAACTGTAGCATTCTATAAATGATTGAATTTAGATTAAATTAAGAACTGCAAACATCTGAACACTGAAAATTACTGTCTTTTGTTACAATCCATGAGAAAATAGCCTAAAACTGGAGGCAGAATTTTTTTGAAACTATGATATTTTGGTCCTTTGCTTACAATATTTAGCCACACACAGAGAACAGGAGTGGTGTAGTGAGATGAAGCTGTTGTGGGGCACTGGACTACAAACCACACAGGGCCACAAATTGATCTGTGATTAGCACAGGGCAGTGGAACAGCCTTTGATAATCAAGCCTCAGAACAGGATCAGACTAAAATCAGAGCTGCTCTTGTCAGTAACAACTTTATTAAGCAACATTGACATTCCCCCACATAGAAACAGAAAAAAACCCTAAAAAACTCACAACCTCACGCAAAACCAAAACACCAAAAAATCAAACCAAAAAAACACCAAAACCAACAAACAACCCTTTTTATTGATTATGCCTTTTCCTTTTGAAGAGTAAATTTTCAAACAGCATGGGGGAGCCTAAATAGTACCACTGTGAGCCTAGTTCAGAGTTGCAGTAAATTCAAGAAAATAATTTTCCATTTACATTGCAGTTGGTCTCACTAGGCCAAGTTTACAGAGAGCACATCCCTGTAAGCAGTCAAGTTGAAAACAATGGCCCTGCTCATACAAGTACAATTTTGTACAAGTAATATTGTAGGAAGGAAGGTATTCAGGATACAGGGCTATTGATAACTTCTGTGGCACAGAATCACCTCAGCAAAAAAGAATCAGGCTGCATTTGCTAAAGGTTAAAAAAAGAGGAAAATATACTTTATTGTATAATAGACAAACTAGAGTGCCTTTTGATATTTCCTTATCACACAACCTCCAAAATACAGAAAAATTCACTCAGCACTTCCAATCGTCCAACTAGCATGAAAATAAGTGTTTCATAATAATTTGTGATTGTTCTGAAACAATAAAGAAAACATGCAAATTACACCATACAATAAAGACTTGATTATGCAACTGTTTTGCCTCCTTTGCTGCAGCAATAAGCAAGAAAATAGAGACTGAATTGAACACAATTTATACTGCAAAAGAATATTCACTTGTGTTACTGCTTCAGCTACTTAAAAGAAATAATTTTGGTAAATCATTATCATTAGGAGACCCTATTTAAGGTTTATATCAATGATCTTGAGACTAATTTCATCATGTCTGTGCTCCACTTCCAGATTTTCAAGACACAATTGCTTTAGTTCTCTAAAGACAGCAGAATACTTTTTACAAAATGTGTTCAATAAATTTTTAAGAGTGTCAGCATTCCGTTTTTGAGGACTAATATCTTGAAATAATCTTTCCTAAGTATTTCTATGTGAGAATACCTATGCATATTAGAATTCACAAGTCTTTTTTTGACTTAATTACAGTCAATGGAAGTTAAGTACAGGCTTAAATGTATTCTGCTACTTTTCATCCTGAACCAGGATATTCCATTGTATTTTAGACTAAGAAAGAACAACACTGAAAACTATGTATCAGGCAGTTTTCAGAGTACACATACAAAATATGCTATGCAAATCATGGCAATATGCTAATAAAATCAGTTATTTCTTTTCTCATGCTGTTGTTAAAAATGATGCCAACAGTGTTGTTTATGGGGTTGATCAGAAGAAAAAGATACCTTTTATTCAGCTACACAAAATCTAAATTTAGGAGAATGTTTCTCTTTCCTGGTCTCTTCTCAGAGCAATGGACTTTCTCACACCACTGTGGATGAGAATCCACATTTAAAATTTGATTCATTAATGGTGCTAGAAGCAGCATTAACTCATCCTCCAGCCGCTACAAGCTGTGTCAGAAGGGGTCACAGAGTGCTGGTGCTGGCCAGCAGCCAGTGACAGCATGGCGAGCAGCCAGCCATTCTGCTATGAACTGGAGGGGGTTCCTGAGGGAATTTTAAAGTTTTTCTGCATTTTCACCTTTATTGCAGCTCAAGATCTCCTGCAGAGTTTGCATGTACAGCTTATGGATACTAAAGGCTATGTTTTTATTTCACTGAATGCTTTCATAAAGAAACCAAATCAACAGTAAGATTTTTATACAGCTTCAGGAAGCTTAGGTGCATGAACTTCTTTTGGCCACATCACATCCACATCGAAGACTTTGCAGAATCAATAATTTAAGGTAATTCATGTTTTCCTTGCAAGCTGAGAAAAACAAATATAGGAATTAGTAATACTATCTTGTCTAAATTCTCTGTTAAGGAGGAAAATAATCTTCTTTGTTACAGTTTCCTGTACTTCAACATTCTTACCAATTAATTACCGGATTTGGTCCTGAAACATTCTGCAGCAAGATTTGGAAAATTTGTACACACTTCATGAAATGAAACCAAGTTACACATGGCTTCTGAGAAAATAAAATAATTAAAGTTTTTATACAAGAAAAAGAGGCAGTATGAGTTACAGAGGGAAAAAATGCACCTCAGCATAGTACATCAGTAGGCAGTATCACCAACACATCATTTTCTCATACATATTTATCAAGGTCCATACGTAAAAGCACCTGCCCACAAATGCACAACACAAAAATCCACAGTTCTTTAGGAAATGGACTTTGTATAATCTGATAGAAAAACTTTACTGCGGCATGCTTGAAAATAGATTGAAAATTATTGCTCCACTTTGAACATTTCCTGAAATGTACTGCAATATCAGTACAAAGCTGACTGCATCAATCAGGTATCTTCAGATGCTCCATTTGATTTTTCAGAGAGATGAGAAAGCAACAAAGTGACTAGACCAAGCAATTCCAGGTACTTATAGCACATTAATCAATTTGAAATGAACTCCTTTTGTCTGCTGCTGCAATGGTTTAGAAGATATTTCCTAAACAAATAGATAATACTTTCTTTTCTATTACAATTGATCTAACTCCGAGACTTATATAAGAATTTTTTTTAAAACCCACAACACAATACTAGTGCTTTTTGGTTTTTTTTTATTTAAGAGCATGCTTACAATTGTGAAATCATGGTTACAGAAGTTCAAATAAAGCTTATTTTTTAAATTCTATCTGACCTTGGATTTGACAAAAATTGTATATGGGTCAAGATTATGAAAGGGCTTTCATTACATGAAGTTATCTAAGTATTGTTCAGACTGGTTTTCAGGATGAAATACTAGCTGAAGTTTGTATTTACTTCATGTGCAATCACTTTAACCTTGCTATTTGCACAGCAGATGTCTTCTTCACAAGACTACAGAAGCTATTGACTATAAATCCTGATAAGATAAGCTGTTCATTCCTTCCTTGTCAGAGCACTCTAAAAAGTCGCATAAAAGAAAACAATTACTGAACTGAGGCAAATACCAAACGTTGATCCTAGAGTTCTCAAGGAGTCTTCTATACAGCAGCTTCTGACCAAGTCAAACCAGCAGAATTAGAATCCTTGTAGGAAAGTCATTATAAAGAATTTGATTAATTTGTGACATTTAATTCATATGAATGCCAAGACTGAAGTTACACTTATTCTAACTGGAACTATTTCTGAAATCTCAATAGTTAAAAGATTAAATAAGCATAGTAATTCAGCTACTTCCTTTATCTTTGCATCTTATCCATTCAGTCATCAGCGACAAAATGTGTAGTTATAGTAGGAATGGAAATGCTTGTATTCCCCACCCTAGTGGGAAAGAGAGTGGCCAAGGCTGCCAACTCAACAGCTTAAATTACCAAAAGTCTCCACTGAGTGCTTTCCACTATCTCTGGAAACAGTTTTGGAAAGTAGATTCTATCAGTTTTTCTGGTTTATTGATTAAGGAAGTTTGTTCTGCTTACAAAAACAACATCAAATCAACGTTAAGAAAGTCTGAGGGCTCCAACTTCCTATTAAGAAGAGAAAGATAAGAAAAATACACAGACAATGATATTTTGGCCACGCGTGTCTTCACAATAATGGTTAAAAAAAAAAATTTGATAAGGTGAACTGCCCTGTAGAGAAGGGAAGATTGTTCCTTCATTGAAGAGCTATTAACATGCTCTAGGAAAAGTTTCTAATCCATCCCAAAAACATTTGGTATTTTTAATTTAAATTAGTGACCTTCAGGGAACTCACTGTAAGGACAAAATTATTATCATTTTAATCTCTCTCCAAAAGGTGAAACAGAAAACCACCATCCTGTTATTTCAATTGTCTTCTACAAATGAACTTTCTTGAAGTACAAACCTGATTCTGCTTTTAGTTACATGATGCTAATGATCTTATTAACAGTCAGGTTATTTCCTATTGACTTTCTGTGGGCTAACGATTGATGCTAAGCAGCAAAAGATGCATTATGACTGAAGTCCTTTTTCTATATAGGATTTCATGCTTTGACTTACAATATTTTACAGCGTTAGGCATCTGGGAATCTCAGAACAAACAGGAAATTATTTGCAACCCTACCTTCAAAGATGACTTATTGGATAAAATAAAAAATAACTGGCAAACCACACAAGAATGCCATAAGATAGTCCCATCTTTAAAGCACATGCGCTTAGGGACAGGCCTCAAAAACAACATTAGCATTACTATACATAAATTAGTCAGATAATCTGTGTATACTCAGCCCAATAAACTGTATTTACTCAATTCAAACAAGATTCTGCAGAGGTAAGACCACAGTCATTATTTGCATGCTGCAGTGGAGTCTCCTTTGCCTGTGTGCTGTTGTTAAATCTTTCTGAAAAGCAGAGATTCCCTACTGCACTATCTGAATTAAATGAAAGAGAAATTAGAAAGGTATACAACCCTTTAATACTTAATTAGCTTTCCAATCAAGGAGTGAAACCAAGCAAGATTATATGACTGATTATACTCATGATATGACTGATCCATCTGGATTGTTATTTGTCCCATTATTATCCTCCAAGTGACCACAGAGACTTAACACAAGTAATGAGGAGATCTATCCTTTGGTTGCCTAGGATCAAAATTTAACACATTTGGTCGTTATTTTCCTAGCTTCCACTGTCAGCCCTGCCAAATTTCTTTTCAGCAAACTAATACCTAGTTATTTTTGCCAAGTCTTCAAGCTTTTACTAAGTTAGAAAAGTATGATCCATCTGTTTGCAGAGGCTGAGAGCCCAGAAGTTTCCATATCCTCACATGAATGGCAGACCCTGCTATCTGAGCACCACGACCTAAGTGCTTTTTCACAACTGCCACACACAGTAAAGCAATTGTTTTAGGTCATTTCAAAGTCACCTCTTGTATGGAAGAAAACAGTCATAAGATCAGATATGCAACCTTGTGAGGATGGCAAGTTACATGGTGACAAGGTGGGTGAACTGTAGAATTAAGTCTGTAAGTCTGTAACTGGAAAGCATTTCTAATAACCCTAGAAGCAGCAAGCAATAAATATGATGATGCAATTCATGATGCAGACCTATTTGCAGGAGAACATGCAGAGATGTGATTACCGTCTTACAGCAAACAAACATGACACAATATTATGTTTAAAGGAGGCAAATTTCAAGGTAAGTTCAACATAATCTACCCATCCTTCTTAGCAAAACATCCTATTGCCTTAGGAAACAATCTCATTGCTAGAAAGCCACAGGTGGTGTTTCTGTTTCTCAGTAAGTCAGGTGCATTTCCTATAGCCTTGTGGGATACTGCATGCTCCTGTAGTTTTGTAACGTAACACAGGCCTGTAACCTCTTAACAGATACAAAATTGTATGATCCAGATGCATCAGCCTTCCAGACTCTAAATTTGCTCAAATACAGTAACTACCAACTTTTAATTTTGGTTTGCACAAGACATTCTGATACATATAGCAGTTGCATCTGCACATATATCTCAGCTCAATTCCCACAATAACTTTTTTGGGACCTTTAATCAGAGGTTGAATTCCTTGTCTTGCTTGTTGTGGGCACAATATACAGACTTTTTTCAGAAAAGTGTTATTAAATAAGACCTATGTGCTTCAGAAGGACATCCAACTACTACTGTTGGAAGTTTCTACAACATCCAGCTCTATACTACAACACACAAATCTAATGCTAAACCCTGAAAGTAGACTGAAAAATGCTACTTCTATGGAATGTTTGACTCCATTGCAATCCCTTATTCTTTTCTGCTCCAAATCACCTTGCATATCATAACCCAATTTTACTCACGGGAGAGGAGGGAAAACTTAAACCCCACAACTCTACTCTAGGAGAATAACAAGACAAAATTCAGTTTAGAAACACAGAAGAAAAAAAAGGGGGAAAAAAAAGAGAAGAGTGTTACAGTGCACTTGGGCTATGCCTTTCCCCATTCCCCGGGACCCTGTCACTCTGATCAGATAAGCCTGGTCCCCTCCTTCCTGTCCCACAGGGTTGGCGGAGAGCATAGATAAACCCCCTGTCCAGAGCATAGATAAACCCCTGACATTTCCTGTTCGCCCTCTTTTCTCCCACTCTTTCCCCTCTGAACCTCATGGAATAAAGAGCTGGAAAATGACATCGGGGTGAGAGCCTCTTTTGGAATCTTTGCCCATCTCCTAATGTTCCCCTATCTGTTCTGCAATCATGGAAGAGATGTAATTTAAATAATTTCAGATTAGCTACAATATTAGGACTGAAATTATTCCTGAAGACCATAGGGTATCAGAGGTTAAAAGCCCAAACCAACACAAACCTGAGTAGAACAACTGAGCAGAATGCTTTTTTTCCTGTCAGCATTGAAATATGTAGAGACAAGAAGTCACATGCTGGTTTTCTTTTTCACAGTACACGCCACTAAAATGGACACTGCTTATGATCAGAGGTGGATGTGAAAAACAGTTCTTTTCAATTAGCTAAGAGAAGACCAATCATGGAAACACCACAGAAGTTTGAATATGATACTCAATAAGAATCATAAGAAAGAAAGTTTAAGAAGGAGTTAAACCTGAATGAACTAGAAAAATCATCAATGGTAAGAATGTACTGAAAACAAACCAAAAAAACAAAAAAAAAGTCTGGCATTTATTTCTTTCGGGGAGATAACATCTATATGATCAAAAAGGGTTGAATAATTAGTAAGATTCGATTTTATAACAATCCAAAATATAAGAGGTTAGCCATGCTTGAACATCTAGAATCACTTTTTGATAAAAGAGAATAATAGTTATTTGCCCAATTAAGTCACACAATCCAGCACTAGGCTTATGATACAGTAAACAATATAAAATGCAAAATGCCACAAGACAGATTGACAGAATTAAAAATTAATGGCATTGGTCTAATGGAAAAGGTGCATGAGACCAAAATTTTCAGAAATTTGGGGGAAAAGCAAGCTCTTCAAGTCCAGGATAATGCCAATAAACCCCAATAACTCTGCAGGTCCTGCACTGTCCTATGGAAGTTGTTCAGAGAAAAGGCTCAGATCAGATGGATCAGCATCAGTACTCTTGAAATATAAACTTTAAGGAATTTAGAGATTTTAGAGGAGCTAAGATTTTATTAGAAATAAGCCTTACTAGAGTTAATTAAAATAAGAATAATAAATGAGTAGGCCTTGATGAAGTTAGGAGTTAGTAGTTAACTAATAATTGATTGCTTGTCAGCACAATGTTTGGTTAGCTGGGTTTATAATGAAGAATATAGAAACTGACAAATAGCTTTTAGGAACATAAGACAATTGTGGGCCTCCTCTGTTCTGAAACCAATTGAAGACGAGGAATGGGAGTTCTACCAAGAGTTCATTTGTCATCCTTGCATTGAAAAGGTAGAAAGGTCAGAACGAGGAAGACTTCATGTACTTCCTCATTTTGGGACCCCCCCCCATGAAAGGGACCACCGACCCATTTCAAGGGACAACTACGCATGCTTAATAGCTTTTGGAGTGATTAGCATACGAAGCGGGGAATGGGATGTACCAAAATTATGAATATGCATTTGTATTTTGGGTATTCAATACTTGTATGGATAAAAAGACTCTGTAATCACCTGGAAGGTGCGGTGTGTATTTGGGAACTATCCCGCACGCTGCCCGGCATAGAATAAACATGCACTTTCTAACTTTAAACTGTTAGAGAGTTTTTGTCCGTCACAGTTGAATATTGGTACTAGATCAATATCCATATTTTTTCAATAAATCACTCTCAGTAACATGCAAAAAGATAAACATGCTCACCATAACATTTTTAAAAATACATACTCTGCTAGAAACCAAGCAAGTATTACAGAAGCAAAGATGAGGCCTAAAGAAAAAGTAGTCAGTGCCAAATATTTATTTACACTGCATGTGAATAAGAGCCAGGTTCTGATGAGTACATCTTGAAAAATAGAGAAATATACATCAAATATTGTCTCTCTCAGTGCACTGTTTGCTGACTGTTTCCTGGGATGGCTGATGTTTGGCTCAGGCTTGAAACAACTATGTTTCATTACAAAAACAAGGCATTTTCGATGGGATTAAAAGTAAAATGGTAAAGATGTCTTTCAATATCAAAATCACTACAAAGACACAACAAAGCAACCCCAGAGAGGAGCAGAACCAAACCAGTACAAATCATCATAAGGCATACTCTGACAATATATCTGCCTCAGGAAACAAGAAAGATTTCATATACATATTTTTAATCAGTTCAAAGGAAATTTCTACTATTTTAAGATAAAGCACCATTCCATTTCCCATCACTTAATTATTTCTTCATGCACTACTATCAGGATGTGCTACCTTGTATTTCAAACTTTGAAAGTTAAGCCAAAAGTGTAAACAGCTGAGGTTAAAATGCACGCTGCAAGGAAACTTTATTTAGCATGTAGGGAAGTTACACAATTGTGATATTTAGTGGCCTGGAAAAGGATGATAGGAATAGCAATCTGCAATTTTAAGTGACCAAACTAATTGGGATAAGGAAGTCTGGGAAAGTGCTCTACAAGGTCTATGTTCCATTAATCAAGTAAATAATAAAAAAAAAACTAGTCTTGGAATACAATGCAACTCTTCCAGTCTTACAGAGCAGTTTCTTAATATTAAAGGAGTATTTAGACATGAAATGAGGAGAGAATGAACCTACCAGGAAATTAAAGGCAGCAGATTAACCAAAACTGAAAAATGAAATACAAAAATAAAGGACAGGGGAGTAAGCAAGTCCAATGCACCTCAACAACAGACAACTTTCTTTTTTAAAAAATCTAATACTTAAAATTCGAATTTAGACTATTTCAGTTAGCCCTTTTTCTTGCTTTTCATTTTTTCAATGTTTTTTTGTGTTCTGCAGGACATCAGCTGCTGGTTGCAGAGTTTTGGGCTCTATTCAGAAACTGAAGAACAATACCAAACAATCACCCTGAAAGTGATTCATTGTTCTGTGATTTTGCATTCTTAAGCACCTCAGTTCCCATTAAAGCCAGCTGCACAAGGGATCACAGCAGTGAGCAGTAAGAAATATGCAGATCTCCTCAAGAGGTCCTCCTTTTTTGCTTTTTCTTTTCTGTCTTTTTAAGGTGTACAAAGGAAGAAAGTATCAGAGATGTCTTGATTAAATCTTGAACATTTTTCTTTTGAATTTTTTCCTATTTTCATAGCTGGGAAACATGGGTGTTTTCACCTTGATTAGCATAAGGATTCTAATTGCTTACAAAGTATATTAACATTAATGAATCATTCAATTATTCATTATTATTATGAAAAGTACAGCATCAGTGCCAGTTAAGGCACTGAATTTGGATGAAACAATCTGCAACTGATATTTCTCTCATGTTAAGACATGGGATGCATCTCACTATGCTGGATTCAGTACATAATTCACTGTGTATTTTAACTCTTTGACAAAGTATCAGAGACTTCATCCTTATTGTACCATTTATGCAATCCAGCTTCTCTATTTTCCCTCCCAGGCCCAAGAAGAACCCAAAACAAAATAGTAAGGCACAAAAACCAAGATCTCAAAAGCAGTTGAGACAATTAGACACATAAGACTTGCTTCCATTGAAGTAAAGAGTACAAATCCTCAGAAGAAACTGGAAGGAAAAGCAAAGTTTGTACCTTGTCACATGTGCAGATCCCTTGGTAGAGAGCTTCCTATGTAAAAGAATTCCATCTTAAATTCTTAAGAGGCATAATCATTACTAAAGGATAAGAATCACTAAAGAAAAATGTCAGTTTTAGAAGATAGCCACTAGATGGAGCAATTTAATATTAAGATTCCATTTATAAAGATTCTTTCACCTTTCCCATTACCGAATTAATTTTTCCTTTTTATGCCAAGGATACTTAGAAATACTGTGCTCTTGCATATTATACAAGTAAAAGGAAAACTGCACATGAATAAACACTATGTTTCTATATTTTGCCTGTATTGAAGCAAAGACTGGAAACAGTGTAAGGCAAAGTGCAATTCTAAACCACTTCTGTTAAACTGTTGATTTAATTAATCCACCAATCTACATTTCCTAATCTTGAGAAACATTAAGCATTAAGAAATATTAAGCAGTTTATCAGAATACTATGCTCTCTATTCACCAGACACCAGAACTTTTTCCAGCAGAGATTATTCTATCCTACCCTGAACCTTAGCCTAACTACTATATAGTTACAATTCTTCTATATTTTAGTATCAAACTGAGAATTAAGACTATTTGGTACTGACACAAAAGGAAAAGAGACTTGACCTCATTAGCTTGAGTCCCAATTTACATCAGTTGTATCTAAGATGGCTGTAGAACTACAGTGCCTTCTGTCAGTGTAAGACCAAAAGTTGAACCTATGTCTATTTGTATTTCTAATTTTATTTTCAAGCAACAATTTACAGTTGTTACTATCCAAAGTACCACCTGACAACATCTATCTGTACCTTGTGAAGATGATATGTATGTTTAAAAACAGAGCAATGGTGTTGTTGCAGAATGCAGCTCTGAGGCAGCAAGAAAGTAAATCCTCAATGATTACATTGGGTCTTAAAATCCTTCTTTAATACTGGATTTGCTGGAAAAGGGGGAAGAAATAAACACAGTTAAGGACAGCCTGCGAACAGCAATCCCCAACTGGCCTCTGCTTTTTTGTTTTGAAACAAAACAAAATGCTATATCATACTTACGAAATAGTCGCATTTCTGATTGATAAGTAAGATAATCTAAGTACCATGAATGGTCTAGAGTATCTAAAGTCTGCAAACATCATAATGCAGTATACATTTTAATATCCTTCCTATTACTGAACTTTTCTAATGTTAAATCAACCTCTACCTGCATAGCAGGTGCAAATAGCATCTGGATTTACTGTTGTGCTTAGGTCCATGGTGACAATCCATGCTTTTAATGCATAGATGTTGTGCTTTTTTCCAAAAACTGTTACTATTATCTATCATGATTAATGATAAACAAGATCCAAACATTAGGCTGTTTATACAACTATTAAGGGAATTGTGCATTTCTCTCTTACAGAATTCAGCCATGGTTCTAAAATTCTGAAGATGTATAATTGATATATCCCCACCATGTCCATCATTATCAGGACCACATTTAGCACAGGTTCAATTAACCTAATCTTTTATCTCTCTTATCTCAATCAAACAGTCATTAAGGACATTGCTGATCAATGGCTTACTAGATGAACCTCAGAATGAAGAGAAAGCATACAGCACAGGAGGAGGGCAAACTTTATTATTTTGTTTTCAGATTATTACACTTCATTTTTATGCTTTGTTCCATCACTGCACCACTTCTGGGGTAAAGAGGGGTTTATGCAGGCAAGAGAAGAAAGCAAAGAACAAGCCAAGAGCGCTGCATGACCTGGAGACACTTCTGGCACTTGTGTAAAAGCTGCCTTCATTAAAGCTAACATGTTAACACTGCAGCAAGTAAAGACATAAATGAACATAAAGAACATCCACACTATCACATTCCAAATATCAAACCAGTATACCTCAGACTTCTCCTCTTCAGCAATTACCTGTGGCTGTTTGCTTCCTGACAGCTACAGAAAACAGATCAAGGCTCCAAAACATTTTCCCCCACATATTTCAGTGGCTTCTATGCTCATTTTTCTTATAAAGAACAAACAAGTTCACAAACTGCAAACTATCTGCTAGACAAATCAACTTGAAAGTGTTTGAGATTTCATTATGCGGTGAAAGCTGACAGACTGACAATGTCGGATTTCAGTGAATCCATTTCAAGCAACTTAACCCAAACTTACTCAGTTTAGTCCTTGAGACCTCCAGTGTTTGCCGTAGAACATAAAACCCATGACATTAAGTCCTTACAAGAAAACACTTTACACTTTAAAAAATCACTGGCACCTATGTATCTAAGCAAATTAAGAGAAGCTCAAGCACTTAATTAATCTTCCAGATGCCGAATCACTTCAGTTTCCAGAAGAGTCACTCCACGAGTAAATTTGTAACTGGGCTCAGTAGAGAAATCTAACCTAAGAAATCTCACCTAAGCCTTTCTACATTGTGGTTGCTTTCAGAAAACATGAAAATGCCAGCAGATTCATTCACACAAGAGAAAACGCCTTTGAAGAACCTGAAATGTGTGGAAATTACAGCTAGCTTAAAAGG